CTCATTGGCTCAGGGGCAGAGCGTCTGTCTAGTAAACAGAAGGTCGCTGGTTCGATTCCAGCATGAGGCAGTCTTTTTACATTCCGAATTTGTTATCATTTTATTTGTTTTTCAAGCGAATTCACCTCATCGAATGTAAATCCAGCATTATCAGCGTTCCATGCGATAATCGGAATGCCCGTTTGCGAGGCCATATGAAGGAAGTATTGAGCTGCCGATGTGGTCTCATCGTATGTCTCAGAAGCGGTTACGAACACAATTAACGCAACCTTAAACCGTCAATTCCGTCACATCGACTAGTTTCAATCAAATCGAGAAAAATCGTTCCGAAATCGTCCTCGAGATATCGTTCAGTTTAAGGTTTGAGTGGTTTTCTGACGCTTAAATTCATTCAAGGCTTACTGCCATCTATTTCAAGCGTGAAAGTTCGACAGTTCGACATGAAATCAACCCACCTTATCTGGAATAAATTTATTGCAGAGGCAATCCAGAACATGTGATGGATAAAACATTCCTTTCGGTAGAATGCAATCAACCGGATTCAGTACATACTTTGATGCAATCTTACGCATTTGTCTGTAAATACGCCTGCATTGATGATTGAAAGCGCTGAGTGAAGGACAAAAAATGCACCGGGATCAGGTCCGCGCGGTTTTCCAAGCAAACTGTATTTGACTTCCGATACGAAAATCAAATTCAATTATGTTCATACTTCGCTATTATCAAACTTTCAGTTATGCACTTTTTAAGAAACACTCATTTGTCAGATTTGTTGATCCATGATTAAGCTTCAGTCTTAAGCTTCTAAGCTTAAGGAAATGAGAAGTCTTTGCAAGTGGGCTTTCAATGACGCGAGGAACAGCTCCCTTAATGAAGTTTCTGTGCAATAGGTACAAACTGAACAAATTTAGTCCGAAACAGATGGACGAGGTTTTCAGTANTTCATCCCCTCCCCCATCTCAAAAAAAAAGTGATTCTTGCCTATTCACTCTCAATCATCTCATGAACGGATCACCATTTTGTAAGCAGTACGAATGCAAGCAATATCATAATTGTGTTTCGCTCATTTGGGAAGCGGAGGAAGTCTGTTTTGATGGATAAATAATTGCCGTCGAATAAATTGGATTTGTCGAGTGAATTGGACTGAACTTACGAAATTGATTGTGCCGCGTTTATGTTGCGTATTGTCTCCTTGAAGGCCTTATCGTAAACCTTCGATTTCGCATAGTTCTGCAATCCATATCAATTCTGCCAGCTATCCAATGATTTTGGTATTTTTCAAATGATACTTTCATAATAGAAATCATGAACTGAGTTTTTTTGAGTCAGATCAAATGCAGGATCAAACGAATTATTTTTGTTGAGAACAGGCTACATTTTTGACGAATTCATCAAATTCTGATCACTCAGTGCTTGTGACAAACTGTTCGAAATAATTGTCACAGTATTCATAGAATGCCGGAATATCGCGAGATTTCTATGTCAAATTTATCGGAAATAATAGTTACTGGAATATAATGGAGCACGAAACTGCATTCAAACTTCAAAGAATTCAACTAAAATCATCAAACCTGATATACAAGACCAATTTTGATTTGTTGCTTATCACTTGTTGA